GAAGCACTAAAACTCCACACAACTGGAACTGAACAAAGCATGTTGCCATTTTGGCTGTGATGTTTAAATTATAGAGAAAGCAGTCAGAATGTCTTAAAGTTCAATCTGACAAGAAATGTAAAATATATTTCTGTCTTCATTCTCTGGGAAGGTAGCATCTTCCAGTGTGCTGTATCACTACCCAGAGTTCTTTTAAAGTGGTTCATAATAGAACATTAAAGACCAAATTCTTGCATTTCTGGGGTTTTTCCCTCATCAAAAAGACATCTTAGCACTGGTCAAAGTTTCGGGGGTGAAGGGGGAAATAATAATCTGGATAGTATTGTATTATTCAGTTGGTGGTGGAGAGATGGAGTTTCTTTATTTTACTATTTGTTCTGGAAGACAAAATTAACATTCTGGCACAGATATACAAGGCACAGGTCACACAACTCGGTACCACCGACGACAAGGTAAAACAACATCCCATTTTACGGTTAGGATAGATGAGTAATAATCCAAATATGTTGAACTCTGATAAAACCTGCAATTTTATTGAATTACAGGGCCAGCATAGACAGATGCTGATAGGTTTGGTTGAGTAGTTTTGCTTTTATTCGTTTTTTTAAATAAGATTTTTCAGATTCAAAACTCAAACTGGGCTCAGCTGCCCCTTATAATTAAATTTTAATGACTTAGGCTGAGTGTTTGTGTTTTGGCAGCATGCTTAATAGTGTTAGCATTGAAACGGTTACAACTAGACTTTGAAGGGAGCAAAACCCATTGCAAGTCATAGGTGAAGTCCCTCCAAAGATGCTCTGATTTACTTGGATGCTGTGGATTTTGCAGGACAGCCATCCACAGGTCATCTGGTTGTAGTAAGTCGTTAAAAAATAAATTAGAATAAAATGCTACATACTCTAAATTCCGCAGTAACCTGAGGGCCAATGCTTTCCAGCTGTAACACTTTTTCACCAGAAGTAACAGTTCTATATGTTTTTGTATGCCAAAGGGCCTACTGGTAAATAAAAGCAGTATGTGGTACTGCTCATAAAATCACCCTTTTTCCCAAAATGGCAGGAACGATCCAGGGTACACATTTTAATCAGTTCTTTTTTTAAAGAATTATTATGAACTTTGCAGTGGTATGTTTCACAGGCTTTCTTTTTATAATTAAAATATTCTTTCCTCTCAAATCCTCTTTCCAGCAAGCAGCCTGTTGCCTGAAGTTTTAATCCTTCATTACTAGTTAAAACAAAATCACCAATTAGGCACATGAACACGTCTGTATTAATCTCATTAAGGTGATGGCACCAAATAAATTGGAACTATTTTTGTGCTTTTACTGTGTTCCCATGGCTTTATCAGGCCCTGTGGTCATATACAAAGACCTCGAAGCTTAGTCATTTAGAGTCATTCGGTTGTGGACTGAATGTGGCATTACCATCTATGGCTGAAAATTGCTTTCAGCTTTTAAACTGCACTGACTAGTCTGTAGTTAATCTTAGATCATTCACTCGCAAAATTAAATGAGCCAGAACGATGGTCTTTTTTTTTTTTTATAAAATAATACATCACAAAACACTTATTTGCCCTGCCCAAAAGAGAGATCAAATTCATTTAAAATCCCATAAACCAGAGTTGTGAATTTTTAATTTTATTTAGTAGCAGAGAAATAGAGGGTAAGCTATCTTTCTACAGCACATCATTGCTATAAATTTACATATGGAACATGGTTTGATGCTTAACCAACCTTTAATCTACCTTTGATGTATACTTCTACTTCAACGTGATCATGTGACCCTCCTTATTAATGCAAATGTAAAAAAGACTGTTTGGGATCTCTGATGTAATTAGCCATAAACCATGTTTTTGAAAAAAAAGAGAGAGAGAGAGTGCCTGCTTGTGTCACTGGAGTTGTATATAAAGTTCATAGTTATCATCACAGAAGAATAACCTTAAGAAACTAAGTTTAAAAATTTCACTTCATTCATTCCTATATTTTCTGCCCAAGTAATTACTGAAGACCATTTTACTATACCAGTGATAGTCAACTAAGATTTGATTGCTATATAATGTGTTTTATAGGAATAAAACATCTTAATTTTCATAGGATTTTTTTTACCCTGTTTCTTGTAAAAGTAAAATCACATTGAGAGAAAAATTCTAACTGAGGCAAGGGGAAATGCAATACCTCTTATCCCTATTAGCATATATTATAATCATTTCAAACACATTGTCTTTTAAAAGAACGTGCATTTGCTTGCTGTTGGCTCCCTCCCTTCCCACTGCCCTATCCTTTGATATGGGCCAGATGTCTATGTTTTGATTTTGACAGTCACTAATTTTAGGGTCCAAAAAACTTGAGCCACCACAAATGAGGTGAGGTCACCTCATAATGTCAGATGGAGGCAAAAAGTTTGGATATTTGAGGGGCTGACCCAGTGAGTACCCTGGTGGGTGACAGAACGCTAAGGTTAGATATTGGAAAATAAGGTTCATGTTACTCTGTCACTGGGGCCGGTGCAAGCTGCCTGCTTGACAGAGAAGGTGGTATGTGGTCTGGACCTCAAGAAAAAGGAAGTCAGCCACCCAGATCAAAAATTACCCTGTCGGCCATCCAAAAAATGATTCTGACATCAGCTTAGTGAGACAGGAAGAAAACGATTTTTTTTTTAGAGTTGATTGTACTTTATTCTAGGGGAGTCTAGGGAAATTCACGTGTCCATCACAGCATTATGAATGGACGTTTCTGCATTGAGAATACAATTGCCAAAATCACATAGGTAACATCTCTTTACGTATACTACGTATTGCAGGTGTACATGACGCAAGTTGTGCAATTCCAGAAGTGAATCATTCATTATTTTTTTAAATATAGTGTTATAAGCATAAGGACAGTAAAATAAAATGCATTTCTATTGACTGTTCTTTTTAGTTTAAACACAAAATTGTCTGGAATTATGAGAAGCCACTCGTTGGTTACATAATTATCTTGGCAGCTATGGACACCTCTTTCTATTTAATTTGTAATAACTTAGAAAAAAGGCTTTTATGACCAATACCTCATACTCATTTTTACTGAGACTGCCCTTCCTGTCCTATAAACTTTCTTGAGACTCCTTGACCTAATTCTAAGCATAGCTGTGTTCCTTAAATCTTATTGTATTGCTACTTTGAAACAGATATTAAGTTTATATTTTTCAGTAAATTTTAATGATTTAAAAGGACCTAATAAAAGGACCTAAATCTATTCAAGATTTGTTCCTTTTCTGAGAATATGGACAAAGCAAAAAAGATACATGTATATATTTTTTGATATCATCTAAATATCAGATGACCATTCTAAATACTGCACAGTATTAGTTTTCCTATCTCAAGAAAAATATCTACATATTGTTGTTTATTCTGTAAAATATTCCTTTTTTTAATAGCCTGAACCAAATAATTTCTCATTTTTACAGGCTTCACTTCACTTTTCTCACAGTGAATAAATTGCAACTTATTTCCATGAAATTCACAGATGACACAGATCTTTATTTTGCATAAAGGCATAAAGAAGTGTCTAATATCTTCAATATTCATCTGCTAAGTGGACATTTGCATTGGGTTAGAACGGAAAAAGAGCCCCAACCCTCCCGCAGTGACAGCTGTACAAAGGGATGACATCTGACAGCTGTGACAGTGCTGAAGGGAAACTCAGATGACTCGCAGCATCCATGATCCAATTACAGAACACATCCCTCTGACAGACCCAGCAGCTTGACTCCAGCGTTTGGAAGGACAGTATTGATCTCTTGTCAGAAACCAGTTGCCTGCCTGCAATTGTGCGCTGCTGAACTTTGAAAAGCTATAGTACCCTCTTAAATGATAGGGGCAGTCAGGTTATAGTATTCAGGTACAAAGAGAGGTGCAAAGGGTATCTGCTAAATGCTCTAAACTTGAACAAATCATAACAATATGACAGTCCAATCATACTCAAGGAGCCCAGCTGATCTAGCTGGCTACTGTCTGTGCTAATGGAGAGACAGCTCTTTGTGTTTAGTGGGATGATCTTACTTGATGAAAAGGCCACTGCAATTAGTGCATACTGTTGGCTGTGCTGGGTGACAGCAGCACGGATGGTATAATGGCAGCTGCCAATAACCCTAACTTCAAGAAAACAGACAATTAGGCCTTTGATCCTAACACTGTTAGTCCCTCCACTCTGGACCTCTGCTCGGCTTTTACTGTAAACCTCACAAGGGCAATGTGGTACAACCGCACCAAACAGAACAACTTGGTCAAGGGGTCAATTACCTTTCTCCCCTTGCCTTCTGCCCGCCTTCCTTAAGGGGGGAGAGAGAGGGAGGGAGAGAGAAAGAGGAAGAGAGAGAGACGTGCAAAATGTCACAAACATAAATATTTCCTTTCAACTATAGTTTAAAACAAGTTCATATATGCTCATAGCTGTTTTAAGATGCAAAAATTTTAAATACATTTTAAAACTAGGGTGGTAAAAACAAGATGCTAAAAGAGCTTTCTAATGGCAAGCTATCTAATGTTATAAGATACACGTAGGACTGAATGTTAAGAAATTAGGATGAAATAAAATACAAGGATGTAATGTAACAGGACAGGGAATATTGCCAATATTTTATAATAACTTTATGTGGAGTATAATGTATAAAAATATTGAATCGCTATGTTGTACACCTGAAACTAATACGATAACATACATCAGGTATACTTCAATAAAAAGACTGCATCAAAACACTAAAATAATAAAAAGTTATCTCCAGTTTATCTGTATTATTCTAGGACTGGATAAAGATAGATGAAACATTCTGAAGACTCAGAGTGTACACAAAATTTATAATGCACAAATATTTTACTGCTTTTCAGCAAGTGCAGCTCCAGAACAGGCAGAGCACTCAGGTAGCAGTAAAACAAGTTATATTAAATACTGGAGCACGTGTGCATTTGCTCACATACACACACTAATTATACTAGTATAGAAAGATCTGTGATTAGAAGAATTAGCGCTTGCTTCAGCAGCACGTCTGCTAAAATTGGACCTATATAAAGAAGGCATGGCCCCCGTGCAAGGATGACACCCAAATTTGGAAGAATTCCACATTTTAAAATGAGTATTCTTTATATACCTCAAATCTGGAACTTTTTTAACTTTGAAAGTTTTTTTTTCTGTAATTGTTGAACAGGTAATAAGTATTCCTAACTCTAGGTAGGAGGATATTGGAAATAAAACCTCATAGGAAATATTGACTGTTAAATTTCATTAAATTGCAATAACTTTTAAAAAAAGAAAAAGGAAACTTAGGTCTATGACAATATCAGATCCTTTCTAGTGGCAAAAGTACAATGGCAAAACTGGAAAACTGACCTTATATAAAATATAAATATATATATTTTAAATAGTCAGATATTGAAGAACAGTTTGGTATTATTAAGAGAAAAAATACGGTATGGAAACTAGGGTTTTGTAAATGAACAGAGAACTAAAGATCAAAAGACGAAAAAACAAACTTTTAGAGAGCTTTAAAGCAGAGAAAAATTGAGATATAACAGTATCTAAGATATAAGATGACAACCAATGTGCTTCGGAAATACAAATTCTTAATTACATGCATAAATACTCTTGTTCAGTTGAATGTAGATTAATGCTAATTAAAACACAGAGAAGATCACCCTAATATAAATTGAATAATATAAAATTGGTGAGAGTGTGGAGAAACAGACATTCTCTTTATCTTGATAGGAGTATAAATTGTAGCAGTCTTCCTTAAGATTAATTCAGAAATATCTATCCAAAGTGAACATTACTTTAATCATAAAAATTCTTCACTGCACAAAAAACTGTATGCAGTAATATTCATTGCAATATTATTTACAATGAGAAAACAATTAAAACAGCCTAAATATCCAGTAGGAAGGGATTAACTATATCATGATACACACATAAAATAAAATAATATACAGCCAATAAAAAGAATGAGATGGATTTACATAAGCTAATATGAAATTTTTCCTAAGATCTAAAGACAGCATTACCTTATTTGTATGAAAGCATACACAAAACAAACATGTATGTGTGGATGTTTGTGTATTAGTGCCTATGTGAATATGTTTAAGATATTTAATTACTACACATATATGCTTTATGTATATCAACATTGCTAGAAATACCAACAAGAGACTGTAATAATTATTATGTATTATGTATTAGTATTATGAGCTACAGATAGTAAGAAGGTTCATTTTTAATTTATATTACCTTATACTATTTGCATACATATGTTTCTTTGATAATTTTAAAAATTAGTTAATTAAATGTGTTTGTATTAATAA